CTATTCCGTACGTTCACTAGTGGCTCGAGAAGACAACGCGAGCCTCGCCAATGTTCTCGAAGGTGAATCATAAATTCACGAGAGAGAGAAAATATGCGCGTGTGCGCGAGCGCGGCTGTAAATATAAATCGTGAATCCAATTTGCAGATGCCGTAAATCAATAACATGATCACGATCACGGCTAAAAAGGCGCGGAACAATCTGACGAAGTCAGATCAGAGCTCGGACAAAAGGCGCGATACGGATGCGTCGTTGTCGAGAATAAAAGGGACGGCGAACGTCAGGCGAGCTGGTGGCAAGTCCGGGACATGCCAAATTTTTGACGAAAATAAAACTAAGGGAAGCATAACCGGACTACTCACCATGGAAACAGGGATGGGTCCTCCAGCTCCATTCGGATACGGGTACGGCGAGACGAGGTAGCCCATGTTGAATGAGGATGTATGCGGCGTCGGATCCACCTTTCCTGTTTCGGAAACAAACGAAAGCATGGTTATTACTATAATCGCCGATCTCCCTATTAATAAATAAGTATATCGAGAATCGATCACGTAACAATTAATCAATGGTTTTTTATTTGTTTGCTTTTTGTCACATTTTATTCAACCGATGTCATAGTTGTTATAAAATGTTTATAAAATGTTTTCTTATCTCACTTTTGTTTCTGATAGAAAATTTAAATAATCTAAATTAAAAAAAAAAAAATAAACAACGGTAATAAGTCGCGTAATAAAATATCTACATCAGTTAAGCCGGTATCGCACAGATTGCTGCAAGTCAGACGTTAAACAGACCACAGACGAAGAAACATTCCTTTAAATGGCAGCCTGCACGCGACGCAACCAAAATGTAAAAAGTAAAAAGAAGTTCCGAAGAAAGAAGACCGCCGACTGACTGGCACGACAATTTGAGATTCGTGCAACACTGACCTTAATTATACGTTTCCTATACAAATTGCTTTTATTTTTCTTTCACATAACAGTTTGGCCAAAAGTACAAGATTGCGGTATTTATCTTATCTATTTTTATCTCGACTCCCCCTCCCCCCAATTCGCACCTGTTTAATTTTCTTGCATGATATATTTTTTTCGTAATTTTTGTCTAAAAAAGTTTTTAATTTCATTTTCTTTCTTTAACATTTCGTTTACATTTTAAAAATATTTAAAATGTAATTAAAGATCTATTTCTTAATGCGGCATAAAATATTAACCAGAAATAATCACCTGTCGTGTTTTAGCTTATCAATTATAAGTTGATATCGATGTCACGTTTGCAATTTCACATAAACGTCGCATTTTAATCGAGTTAATAACGTCCGCTTGGTCCGCATGCCCGATACCATTTTCCGTATAAACGTCCGTATAAATATTTCTTTTACATCTACATTAAAACCAGTCTTCGTTTAATAAGATTCAACATCATTCGTGCAAAGAAGACCGAGTATGCGAAAAACCTGCTCCAAAGATTCAGAGGCGATACCAATCGTCTATCGTTACAGCTAATCCTTAAGACGCGAGATGAATACTGCGGTCGGAGAAATCTCTCGGGCTTATCCTTCCGCGAAACTGGATCGTCGTCCTGAGCAACCCATACGAAGAAGAAACCCATACGAAAATTCGTTTTACGATATATCGAGCGTTTAAAGGTTGCACGCCTTCGCGCTCAAGATCGCGCGCCATAATCAAAATAAATTTCGATCTTCCGGAATTGGAGGAGCGTCGAGGACGCTTGTTCTTTCCAACTCGATCGTTTCGACTGGAATGGGGAACCCGCTCGAGTTGACAATTCTCTGGTCAGAATTAGGATCGCGATTTTATTGTCGAGCATTTTTAAATAATTGATGGTACGATCAGTTCACGATCATTTCGTGCTTGTAGCACGCGGGGAAATAATTCATTCGAGTACTCGCAAACTTTCCAGGTAGCAAAGCAAACGATGTTTCTCCTTCTCTCAATGATATTTGCAGAGTGTGTGGAATTAGAATTACCGCGCGTATAATTTCAACGGGTACGAATTCACGAGAGATAAGAATATCTCTCGCGCGATGCTGCAAATGTGATGGAGAAAATTAATTGATACTTCATTCCAGTTCCATCCTCAATAGAGAACAAATATATGTTGTGCATTAGGAAACATTTTAACACAATTATTAAAAACAATTCAAATATTTATGCTGTGCGCGATCAGTGAAAGATATAAACTATTGTTATCTGTTTAAATTGGATGACCGATGCGTGACGCCCGAAGCTTAAATGAAAGTTTAATTAATACTTTGGCAACTTATTCGTGATCGTCTTGGCCGTTCTAAATAACGAGCATGAAAGAGTTAATTCTTCTTCGCGTTGGACCTACGCGATCCCGATCGCGCGACGCGCGCGACGCAGGACCATTGACCTTTCCCTTTGAGTGGTACGAGACGCACACACAGCAGAGCACTCGTTCGTTCGTAGTTATTAAGACGCGAACGCTTCTGCCGCGTGCACGCTTCGATGCAATTCACACGAACGCGCGGACGATTAAATTGTCAGCTACGCGACTCTATAAATAACACAACGCAGCGCCGCATACCACCGAGTCGAGTCCCGCGATTCTCGTTTTATCAACGCCCGTGAGTCTGCCGATGGAAAGCTCTCGCGAGAGCTGGTTTTATCGAGGTTCCCACAGCGGTTCCAACGCTCGACGGATTTTGTGCAAAATTACTGAGAGAGAGAGAGTGAGTGAGAGAGAGAGAGAGAGAGAGAGAGAGAGAGAAGAAATAA